CCCCCCCCAGACACAGACACGGCGACCCCTGAGCCCCTTTCCCGGGACTAATAATCTGTATATCTGAAGCTTGCCGACTTACCAACATCGATACGTTCAACTCCACACGCAGTTAGTGATAAAAATATTAATTCACGATAGATGCTCCTGGAAAAAATGGAAAGACGAGTATGAAAACAACCGTGAAATACTACTTTTTACAAGAACAGCGCGTATTCTCGCAATCTGATTGGCTGACAGGTATAATCTATAGACCCCTTGCAGCACGTCGGAATGCAGCCCAGTTTAGAGGGCAGAACAATAGGTGTCAAAATCTCATGAGATTGAAATTCTTTTGTTTTGTCCTCCTGTCCAAATTGATCTACTTTGACGTCACATGCAAGGGGTCTATAAGAGGAAAGTCAATGGAAATCTATGAGTGATTTGTTAAATAGAAATCTACTTTCTTTTGTGTTAATACAAAAACTAAGCTAATAACAAATGAAGGTCGCTGATTGGTTGATTTTCTCTGGGTCTAGAGTAGCTTTACAAATGTGTCATTACTCACCATCTTATTTGTGGATTGATTGCTCTTTGTCTGTTACGTTCATCCAAAAGGATCTTTATAGGATTATAGACATCGTTGATTTGAATATGAGCTCCCACCGTCTGCATTGCACTGTAGCGACAAAAAGGCGAGAAAAGTTAGAAAAGTCTCATCTCACATACAATACTCACTTCACATACAACACCGTGCTCGTTGGGACTCGAAACTGTGCACACATGATAACAGGGGAGGGGAGAGGTGGGGGAAAATGTAGACAGAGAAATGATACCTTCGTGAGGTTAACGCTTTATCAGACGTGAACGCTTGTTGATCAACTGTTTACAAAAATAATTGAAAAAAAGAAAAGGATCAATAAACTTTGACAAACAAATAATAATTAGAAATGAGTCCTCCAGCCCGAAATGGGTTATTGACTCATAGGTTATGAGAGGACTAATTTTTTTGAGTCAAATCCAACTATCCGGTCAAATATATAGATGCAAACAAGTTTTGAGCTAAGTTAAATTGCCAATGGTTTGGCTTTCAAAGCTGGTACTTTTCACCACCTAGTAGGATATAACTTATAGCCTAGTAGTAGCTCATCCAATCAGAACGCAGCATTGATGATAGAGCACTAGTTGGATTTGACTAACAATGAATAAACACCGGGCAAAATAATAATAAGCAGACAGCAGAAGTATAAATATGTTATATAAGATAACAAGACTTTTCCTGACCTGGCGAATTCCATAACACATACATCGGAATGTAATCAATATCTTGTCGATCTGCGTCCCATGACGTAGACAGTAACACCTGACTACCAGTAGCCGAGCGACGGTCCTAATAAGGAAAGGTCACGTGATCAGAACAGATTGCAAGAAAGGAGAGCTACGAATGGGACGTAAAGTAACGACCACGTGTCATTATTTTGAGAATAAAATTCTTTATTTGAGTTGTCTCAATACTCATGTGTCTTCTTATGTGTAACCGTTAAACGAAGAAATTATACTCTAGGGAATGACACGTGGTCTGAAATGGGGAAACATTACGCTTAAGGTAAAGAGATCTATAATGTAAAGATGTTTGAATACCTCATTTTTTTCGATCCTGTCTCCAGGGTATGAAGAGAGCATCAGTTCAGGCAGATGTGATGGCAGGTCCAAACGCTTGAAAACCCAGACCTGAAGAAATGGTTAAATAGACTAGACATTAAGGGACCATTCATTATTCATGTCTAGGGGAGAGGGGCTTGTAAAAAAGACGGGGGACTGTCTTAAAATTTACAAATAAAAATGGACTGGTCAAAAAATATATAAGAGGGGAGGGGAGGGGGGATAAATTGAATATTTTTATAAGCACACAGAAACATTTTTTTGTGACCTAAGTTCTGTTGCTTGCCAGCCCCACCCCTCCCCCAGGCATAAATCAATAATGGTCTTTATTGAAAAACAAGTGAAACAGTGAAACAGTGATAGAGCAGTTTCCGTATGAATGTGGAAATCTCGCGGCACGAATCCAAACCAATCATATTGCGTCAAATGCAAACAAATTCCCGGGAACGTGGCATGAATACGGCGTGGACACGGTCACGCCAAGGTCACAGCACTGCCAGAACAATCACATTGGAAAAACAGCCAATCAAAATGTTAGAAAACATTACAATCGCAGCAAGACACGCATACAGCACCTAGGTTTTTAGGCATCATACGAAAATTGCTCTATAAACAGTAGAGGGTTTTCTTACCAGGTTCCAGTAAATGATATCCTTCTGATGGACAACATCTGGGGATTGGAGGGACACACCTCCGTCATTTTCTAACATGTTCTCGAGTTCTTTCCGAAGTACGAGAGGGCTAACGTAGGCTACTGTTATGGAGTCTCTCTCCTCTGGGGCACGAGTTACTAGGAGAAGAAAATTGAATTTGTAGAAACTATTTGGTGACTAGTGTACTTTGTTCAAAAATGAAGAAAATACGCAAGAAAGGAAGGAAGGAAGGAAGGAAGGAAGGATGAAAGAAGGAAATAAGGAAAGAGAGAAAAATAGAGAAAGAAATGAAGTAAGAGGGAAGAGAGATCGATAGAGAAAGAGACCCGCACGCACTGAGTAGAAAAACAACGGAAGGAACAAAAGAAAGGTACAGGGTTTCAACTACACGATGACTTACTGAACCAATTACTAATGTGACTACACGAGCTATTGCTACTATGAGTTCTAGGAAACAGTCCTCCCAGTTTTGGGCTCCCGTGAAAACTCCCAGTTGGACTGGAACTAGCACTGGTTGGCGCACTGATACTGTGTCTCTGTCGTCGTATTGTCATAGGGTTTGATTCTGGGGGCGAGAACGCAACTGTCCGAGGTGGACTGTTGTACTTGGGTATCATGAGAGTGGCCTGGGAATGAAACAAGAATGAGTGAGAAACTATCACCACGATCAATACCACCCACCACCTCGCGTATTACGGGCTTAATGGAATGCATCACGTGTCGGTGCAAATTGACGTCATAAGTAACGTCACAGATGACGTCACTTCTCTAGACATAAGTTGATTGTAGCACAAGGATTTCTTGAAACTCTTACCTCTATGGTTTTAGGTACAGATTTACTGTGTCGATCATAAAAATCATCGTCTTCTTCCTCATCTTCTTCAGGTTCGTTAACCGACATGGCATTGGAAGAAGAATGGAGCCCCGACCGCTGACCAAGATTTGCTAAATCAGGGCTGCCTAGACTACTCATACTGGCAGTCAAATCTGAACTTGGACGTGACGAAAAACAATTGCGATAGTCCTGAAAACAAACAAATACATTACACCTTTAATTGCATGGCTACGGTCATCTTTGTTATAGACCCCTTGCATTGCAGTGCATTGTGGGACTGTTTAAGGGGACGAAATAGACGTCATTTTGGAAATTTGTCGTCTAAAACATTCCCACAATGCAATGCGATGTCAACTCGGCCCAGTTTTTACACAACCTTGGAATAGCAAAACAATAAACCCAAGAGCAGATGGTCTATCAGTGGTAGTCAACCTCTTTATATTTCTATAGGACAAAAGAGTTGGGCTACGTAGCGTTTGTGCGTCAGAGTCTGCAAACACATCATTTCGCTGACACAACTAATCGAGGGCTAAACCACAGAAATGTGGTGGTGCATTAACTCACCTTGATTTTAATTGAGAGGGTTGCGACTTGCTGTGTCTTACAAAAGGTACAACTGAAAAAATAAAGTATGACAGAAAATGAGGCAAAAAATCAGGGCAAATCGACAAGGAGATACAATTAAGAAAAACAAAAAAAATAAGCAGATATTCACATACGACACCATGCGACATGCGACATACGACACCATGAGACATGCGACAAGGGTTAGATCCTGGTTTTGTTCTGCAGCGAGCAGAAAAGCCCACCAAAATACTCGAAATCTTATCGTAAGGACCATCTCTAAGATTTTTCCTCAACTTGCTCTAAATTACAAGTTGTAATCTTTAATCCCATGTAATTTTCCGTTTCCGGTTAAGTTTTATTTCCGCCAAAAACCTAGTGTCAGTGACCTCAAGTGAAGGGCCTCAGTTCCCAAGGGAACGAACAGGTGTAAGCCAGTGACCGGAAGTGCAAGCACATCGAGATCCAGGGAAAGTCTGCTTAGGAGATTATGCAAGAAAAGTGTGAGCCATACAAACCTGGTGTTCAAGTTAGAGTCATCAGCCGTCCAACCAGCCATTACTTCCTCATCATACACATATCTTGCGCATTTAACGCACTGAAAACACGTTAACATCACGGCTTCTAACGCTGTATCCCGCTGCAAACCAGGTGGAAGGCCGAATATATAATCATCGATCGTGACAGTAGTTTCTTCATAGGGTTCTGAGTGATCAACGCCTTCGCTGCTTGCGTTTATAAACAAACGACTGTGACGCGAGCCGTCACTGAACGCCGACATCGAAGTCTCACTTATCGTCCTTCCATAATTTGGTCGCCTCTTTGTTACGAAGCTCGAACTATCGAATGAGTTTAAAGATGTATCGAGGTCACCACTCTCTGAGTAGTTAGACATCTCGCTTATTGTTCGTTCTCTGTGATTCCGAAAGTGCTGAACTCGAGGACTGTCCAGTTCGGGATGGGAGTCGGAGTGTAAGAGTCGTTCGTTTGAGAGAAGGCGTTCTTTTTCTCGTGTCGGTGTTCGAGATCGCGGGGTTGATTTTAAGGACGATTTTTTAGGTGAATCATGAATTTCTACGTCACTGCTGGAACTGCACGGAGAGAGCGAGTCTGAAATTTTAAAAAAATCTCCTTATTAACGACCAACATTAATAATCCGACTAACATCAACCTCAATTTACGACCACCCTTACCAATCTGACCGACATCTTCTCTGTTCATGATGTACGATGTAAGGGTTGTCCTGGCCTCCTAACGTGATCAACTTCCTAATACGACCACCCAGATGGGTAGCTCTGTAATATATTCCATTTTGAGCCACACCCATTAACCCTCCTTTAAGCCACCTTTCTCCGTCCCGGGAGGAAGGGAACAGCATCCTTAAGGCGATAATATATTGTATACTAACGTACCTTCTCTCGCCACCTGCCGATTATGGGCCAGTTTTCGAAACTCGTGGACGGCCGAGAAGAAATTCCTGACCTTGTTCCATAAGTGAGAGCTTGTGGTATTGGACGGCCACTTGCCCTCGACAACTGCCTGTTAGTGAGAGATACGTACAGGGATAAGTATGAAAGAGAGGGATAAACGGAGATAGCAATGCAGATAGCCTTACGAATAAACGGACAGTAAACAGACCGATCTACCGATAGATAGACGAACGAGTGGATAGATATATACAGATTATTGGATGGAAGAGACAAGGAAAGAACAGTCAGTCAAAAAAGATATTCATTTTGGTGGATAGAAGATACTGAAAACAGAGGCAGATAGGAATAGATGAATAGACAGACAGACAGACAGACAGACAGACAGATAGA